ATAAATAAATAAATAAATAAATAAATGATATGGTTGAACCTTGAAAATATTCAGCTAAGTGAAAGGAGAAAAAATGCAAAAGTCTACATATTGTATGATTCCACTTATATGTAGTGTCCAGAGAGAGCCCACCAATATGGTTTAGTCAATGAATTCCCCACTTTCCATTTTGACCTCCACAAAGTTTTGTGTGGTGGGGTTGTGTCACAGGCCATTCCTCCCATTTCCTGTTCCTTAGCGCTCAAGCAGTAGTTTAAGCTTTTGCCTCAAGGTAGCGCCAAAAATTCACCATCATTAAACACACTCAAGAATTGCCTGCAAAGTGTAAAATACATAGATACATAACTACATAAATAAGTACATAAATACATAAGTAAGTAAATAAAAATACATTGGATGAACCTGGAAAATAGTAGGCTAAGTGAAATGAGTCAAAAACGCAATAGACTGCAAATATGTGTATATTTTTCTATAAAAATGATTCCAATTATATGCAGTATCAGAGAAAGCCCACCAATAGGGTTTAGTCAAGGAATTCCACACTTTCCATTTCGAACTCCAGAAAGTTTAATGTGGTGGGTTTGTGTCACAGACCATCCCTTCCATTTTCCTGTTCCTTAGTGTTCAAGCAGCAGTTTAGACTTTTGCCACAAGGTGGCGCCAAAGAACCACTATCATCAAACTCCATTCCCAACTATTGTTTGCAAGGTGTAAAATACATACATACATACATAAATGAATGAATGAAGGAATGAATTGGCAAATAAGTAAGCAACTAGGAAAGCTAGAAAATAAGTAACTAACTAAATAAACTGGTTGAACCTTGAAAGTATTAGGCTAAGTGAAAGGAGTCAAAAATGCAACAGGTCATAAATAAGTCTATATTTGTCTCTAAAAATGATTCCATTTATGTGTAGTGTCCAGAGAGAACGCAACAATATAGTTTAGTCAAGGGATTGACCACATTCCAGTATGACTTCCAGGAAGTTCTGTGTGGTGGGTTTGTGTCACAGACCATCCCTCCCATTTTCCTGTTCTTTAGTGTTCAAGCAGCTGTGCAGTATCTTGCCGCAAGGTGGCGCCAAAGAACCACCATCATCAAACCACTCTCAAGTATTTTTTGCAAGGTGTAATATATATAAATAAAGACGTAAGATAAATAAATAAATTATTGAATTAAATGGATGAACCTTGAAAGTATTCAGCTAATAGGAGTAAAAAATGCAAAAGACCAGATATTGTATGATTCCACTTACATGTAGTGTCCAGAGAGAGCACACGAATATGGTTTAGTCAAGGAATTCCCCACTTTGCATTTTAACATGAGAAAGTTCTGTCTGGTGGGTTTGTGTCACAGACCATCCCTCTCATTTTGCTGTTACTCAGGATTCAAGTTGCAGTTCAGACTGTAGCCACAAGGTGGTGCCAAGGAACCACCATAATCATACTTCACTTCCAAGAATTTTGCAAGCTGTATAATACATAAATAAATAAGTAAATAAATAAGTATTCAAAAAGTAAATTTGTAAGTAAATGAATGAATGAAAGAATGAAACAATCAATTAATTAATCAATAAAAGCAGAATGGATGAGCCAAAAAATAGTAATCTAAGTGAATTGTATCAACAAAGCAAAAGACCACGAATATGGTATATTTGTCTGTAAAAATGATTCCGTTTATATTCCATGTATAGAATGAGCCCTCCAATATGCTTTAGTCAAGGAATTCCCCACTTTCCATTTTAACCTGAGAAAGTTCTGTCCAGTGTGTTTGTGTCACAGACCACCCCTACCATTTTCTTAGTGTTCAAGCAGTAGTTCCGACTTTACCACAAGGTGGCGCCAAAGAACCACCATCCTAAACAACTGTCAGCAAGGCGTATAATATATAAATAAATAAGTAAATAAGTAAATTAGTATGTGAATGAATGAATGAATGAATGATTCAATCAATAAATCAATAAAAATACAATGGATGAACCTTGAAAATAATAAGCTAAGTGAAAGGAGTCAAAATACAAAAGACCACAAATATGTCTTTATTTGTCTATAAAAATGATTCAGTTTATATGTCGTGTCCAGAAAGAGCCTTCCAATATGTGTAGTCAAGGATCCCCACTTTCCATTTTAACCTGAGAAAGTTCTGTCTGGTGGGTTTGTGTCACAGACCATCCATCCCATTTTCCTATTCATTAGTGTTCAACCAGCAGTTCAGGCCTTTGCCACAATGTGGTGCCAAAGAACCACCATCATCAATTTCACTCTCAAGTATTTTCTGCAAGGTGTAAGATAATAAATAAATAAATAAATAAATAAATAAATAAATAATTGAATCATTAAATAAGAAACCTCGAAAGTAAGTAACTCTCTAACTAACTAACTAAATAAACTGGTTTTATGTTGAAAATATTAGGCTAAGTGAAAGGTGTCAAAAATGCAACAGATCATAAATATGTCTATATTTGTCTCTAAAAATGATTCCATTTATGGGTAGTGTCCATAGAGAGCCCACCAATATGGTTTAGTCAAGGATTTCCCCACTTTCCATTTTGACCCCACAAAGTTCTGTGTGGTGGGTTGGTGTCATAGACCATCCCTCCCATTTTCCTGTTCCTTAGGGTTCCAGCAGCATTTCTGGCTTTAGCCACAAAGTGGCGCCAATGAACCACATCATCAAACTCTACTTTCAAGAATTATCTGCAAGGTGTATAATATATAAATAAATAAGCAAATAAATAATAAATTAATAAGTAAATTAGTATGTACATTAATGAATGAATGAACGAACGAATGAATCAATCAATCAATCAAAATACAATGGATGAAACTTGAAAATAGTAAGCTAAGCGAAATGAGTCAAAATACAAACTACCACAAATATGTGTATATTAGTCTATAAAAATGATTCAATTTTTATGTTGTGTCCAGAAAGAGCCTTCCGATATGTTTAGTCAAGGATCCCCACTTTCCATTTTAACCTGAGAAAGTTCTGTCTGCTGGGTTTGCATCACAGACCATCCCTCCCATTTTCCTATTCATTAGCATTCAAGCAGCAGTTGAGGCTTTTGCCACAAGGTGGCGCCGAGGAACCACCATCCTCAAACTCCACTCTCAAGAATTGCCTGCAAGGTGGAAAATACATGCATACATACATACATATACATAAATAAATAAATACGTAAGTAAATAAATAAAAACACAATGGATGAACCTTGAAATATTCAGCTAAGTGAAAGGATGCAAAAGTGCGAAAGACCAGATATTGTATGATTCCACTTATATGTAGCATCCAGAGAGAGCTCAACAATATGGCTTACACAAGGAATTCCTCTGTTTCCATTTTGTCCAGCAAGTTCAGTGTGGTGGGTTTGTGTCACAGACCATCCCTCCCATTTTCTTCTTCCTTAGGGTTCAAGCAGCAGTTCAGGCTTTCGTCACAATTTGGTGCCAAAGAACCACCATCATCAAACTCCACTTTCAAAAACAGTCTGCAAGGAGTATAATATATAAATAATTAAGTAAATCAATAAGTAAATTATTATGTAAATAAATGAATCAAGCAATAAAAATACAGTGGATGAACCTTGAAAATAGTAAGCTAGTTGAAAGGAGTCAAAAATGCAAAAGACCACAAATATGTCTACATTTGTCTATAAAAATGATTCCATTTATATGTCGTGTCCAGAAAGATTCCTCCAATATGCTTTAGTCAAGGAATTCCACACTTTCCATTTTAACCTGAGAAAGTTCTGTTTGGTGGTTTTGTGTCACAGACCATCCCTCCCATATTCCTGTTCCTTAGTGTTCAATTAGCACTGCAGGGTCTTGCCACAAGGTGGCACTAAAGAACCACCTTGATCAAACACCACTCTCAAGTATTTTCTGCAAGGTGTAAAATACAGACATACATACATACATGCATGCATGCATCAGTAAATAAGTAAGTAAATGAAAAGCAAGAAAGTAAGTAACTAACAAAATAAATAAATAAACTGAATGAACCTAAAAAATATTAGACTAAGTGAAAGAAGTAAAAAATGCAACAGACCACAAATATGTCTATATTTGTCTATAAAAATGACTCCATTTATATGTAGTTTCCAGAGAGCCCACCAATATGGTTTAGTCAAGGAATTACCCACTTTCCATTTTGACCTCCAGAAAATCTGCCTCGTTGGTTTGTGTCACAGACCATCCCTCATATTTTCCTGTTCCTTAGTGTTCAAGCAGGAGTTCAGGCTTTGCCACAAGGTGGCGCCAAAAAACCACCATCATCAATTCCACTCCCAAAGAGTTTTCTGTAAAGGGTAAAATACATACATACATATATACATATACATAGATAGATAGATAGGTAAATAAGCAAGATAGTAACTAACTAACTAACTACCTAAATAAATAAATAACATGGATGAACTTTGAAAATATTAAGCTAAGTGAAAGGAGACAAAAAGGCAACTGACTTCAAATATGTCTATATTTGCCTAGAAAAATGATTCCATTTATATGCCATGTCTAGAATGAGCCCTCCAATATGCTTTAGTCAAGAAATTCCACACTTTCCACTTTAACCTGAGAAAGATCTGTCTGGCGGGTTTGTGTACAGACCATCCCTTCCATTTTCCTGTTCTGTAGTGTTTTAGCAGCAGTTAAGGCTTTTGCCACAAGGTGGCGCAAAGAACCACCATCGTCAAACTCCACTCTCAAGAATTGCCTCCAAGGTTAAAATATATACATACATTCATACATACATACATAAATACATAGAGAAATACATAAGTAAATAAATAAAAAATAAAATGGATAAACCTTGAAAATAGTAAGCTAAGCGAAAGGAGTCAAAAATGCAAAAGACCAGATATTGTATGATTAGACTTAGATATTGTATGATTAGACTTATATGTAGCGTCCAGGGAGAGCGCCCCAATATGGTTTAGTCAAGGAATTCTGCACTTTCCATTTCAAAATGGAAACTCCAGCAAGTTCTGTGTGGTGGGTTTGTGTCACAGACCATCCCTCCCATTTTCCTCTTCCTTAAGGTTCAAGCAGCAGTTCAGGCTTTCTCCACAATTTGGCGCCAAAGAACCATCATCAAACTCCACTTTCAGAAACAGTCTGCAAGGAGTATAATATATAAATAAATAAGTAAATCAATAAGTCAATTATTATTTAAATAAATGAATCAATCAATCAATAAAAATACAGTGAATGAACCTCGAAAATAGTATGATAATTGAAAGGAGTCAAAAATGCAAAAGACCACAACTATGTCTATATTTGTCTATAAAATTATTTATTTATATGTAGTGTCCAGAAAGAGCCCTCCAGTATGGTTTAGTCAAGGAATTCCCCACTTTCCATTTTAACCTGAGAAACTGCTGTCTGCTGTCTGGGTTTGTGTCAGAGACCATCTCTCCCATTTTCCTGTTCCTTTGTGTTCAAGCAGCACTTCAGGCTCTTGTCACAAGGTGGCGCCAAAGAACCACCATCATCAAACTCCACTCTCAAAAATTGCCTGCAAGGTGTAAAATACATACATAGATACATGAATATATAAATAAATACATAAGTAAATAAATAACAATTCAGTGGGTGTACCTTGAACATAGTAAGCTAAGTGAAAGGTGTCAAAAATGGAAAAACCACATATTGTTTGATTCCACTTATTAGTAGGGTCCAGAGAGGGCCCACCAATATGGTTTGGTCAAGGAATTCCCCACTTTGTATTTTGAACTCCAGCAAGTTCTGCGTGGTAGGTTTGTGTCAGAGACCATCCCTCCCATTTTCCTATTCCTTAGGGTTCAAGCAGTAGTTCAGGCTGTAGTCACAAGGTGGCGCCAAAGAACCACCATCCTCAAACTCCACTTTTAAAAATTGCCTGCAAGGTGTAAAATACATACATACATTCATACATATATACTTATATAAATAAATTACTAAGTACATAAGTAAATACATAAAAAATACATAAGCAAATAAAAATAAAATGGATGAACCTTGAAAATAGTAAGCTAAGTGAAAGGAGTCAAAAATGCAAATGAGAAAAGATGGAGGAGGAGTAGGGGACCCTATTCCAACCGGTCCCCGGAATTGAGCTGGATATCTACCAGACCACTCTGAACACCCACAAAATCAGCCTGAGATGTAAGAAGATAGATCTGGATCTCTACAAACAGAATATCGCAGGCGGTTGGTTTCGAGGCACGAAGTGGGGAGCCGTGATTCTGCGGGCAGATATCGGAGGATAAATGGCAGGGGGAGGGAGCCTGGCCATGGGGATCCTACACCACCGGTGAGCGATAACCTCTTGCACTGGGGACGGGGCACAGACTCGCAGATTGGTAGTGGTGGGGAAAGGACTTTAGGGCAGCCCCCAGGACAGAAGCTGGAGTGCACGGGTGACCTGGGGGTGGCTGGCAGTTCTAGAAGCACAAAGGGCAGAGACGAGCCTGACCTGGATGCAAGGACTGGGAGCGCTGCTGAGGGGCGCACAAACCTGGACTGCAGTTTATAGCAGCACAGACAAAAACGGAGAGAGTGTGGCCTGGAGAGCTCACTGAAGAAGAGATTGCGATCTCTCTGCTCTGAGGCAGAGAGGAATCTTCTGCTCTGACTCTCCGAAAAGATGTGGAAAGCCACCAGGGAAAGCCACCAGAGAACAAAAGCCCCAAAAAACCAATTTTCCCTGAGCCCATCCCCTGCCACAGGGGGCAGGGCAACTCTGCTCAAACAGGGTTGCCCAAGTAACAGTGCAGCAGGCCACTCCCCCAGAAGACAGGCTGGGAAAACAAGAGGCCAGCAACCCTAAGGTCCCTAGAAAACAGGTGCATCTTGTTTGGGTCGTGGTCAATAATTTGGACTCTATACATTCCCTCAGCCACCCCTCAACAGAATTAGGAGGAGGAACCCCCAAAATAGGAAAAACTCAGAGATTATGACTTATGCAGCAGATTTACAAATGGATGCAGATATAACCAAGATATCGGAGATGGAATTCAGGCTAGCAATTGTGAAGACAATGGCTAGAATGGAGAAATCAATTAATGGCAACATAGAGTCTCTAAGGCCAGAAATGAAAGTGAATTGGCAGAACTTAAAAATGCTATCAATGAGATCTAATCTAATCTAGATAATCTAACAGCTAGGGTAAGTGAGGCAGAAGAACAAATTAGTGACATGGAAGACAACGTAATAGATAAAAAGGGAAAAGAGGAGGCCAGGGAAAAACAACTCAGAATCCATGAAAATAGAATCAGAGAAATAAGTGACACCA